CTCCAGACTTCGGCGAATGAATTCCCACAGTCGATGACTCCGTAGATAAAAATGCCACATCATTTATGAACAAAACCGAAACTTACAAAAAACCATATATAAAAACCTATCTAATGAAACTTAAACAACGAATATTAACTTAATTAAGGTTATTTTCATATTGATAAATCGTTTAATACAAATATAAATACTATAAATAGATAATTATATCAAGTTTTAACATACGATATAAAAACATGAAATTTTCCATTTCATTATTAATTGGTGTCATTAGAAGAATCCACTAAACCAACAATCGAAAAAAATACACGCAAACATAATGATCCCGGCCCCGCGCTTGCGCGGGGAATATGCAACTAGTGTGTATAATTACTGGTGATTCCGGATAATGCACGTACGTGATAATTACTTTCTTAATCCTAATACGATAGGTTTCAAATTATATGTTGGTCCAGAAAAAAAAAATTATTGGCTGAATTAAACGTGTGGATGAATGAACTCTTCTAAACTTTTGACATCAAGTGAAATGCAAAACTCAGTTAAAAAAGTGAAATGAAATGCAAAAATATAAAAAAAAAACTCAGTAAAAAAAGTGAAATGCAAAATAGTTATATTTCCGTGATCACAAGAAAACAAAATTGGTATTACATTCTATCAAGTTCATGGAATCTACATATCCTCACTTAGTTATACGCTTGACAATATTGTGATTGATACGTTAGTCTGTGATTCGACCCATTTTGGGGCCAATCCTATATTAAGGCAATAGGACTCGCTCATTAGTGGTTTGGGTTTTAAATTATAGGAGAGGCTTTTGCTTGTTACCTTTGCAGGAACCATGTAGAGCAGAGCCCATTGAGAATCATAGAGGATCATTGGTGGACTTATTTGACCCAATTTATGAACGTCCAAATCATCAAAACGACAAGCCCCAATTTTTGTTGTTGTAAAATCAGTCTTTGGTTACTATTGTAAGAAATTTGAAAAAGAATTATACAGTAGAATCTATATTCTAGGTATCGTCAGGTAATTACTTCAAACGATTGGGTGGTATTGTATATACATTTTTAATCACAGAACGTATAATCGAATTTTGAAAGTTAAGAGAGCCTTTAGCTTCTGTTTAGCTAAAACAAAGGTCCACATGAACTTGGACAGTAGACTTTCCACGTGCAGGACTGACTGTAACAGAGTCAAATAATGCCAGAGTGTACGAAACACCAGGCACGTGACGGCATCAGTGGCTCAACGGTCATATTCAGTATCAGCAAACTATTGGCACGTGACAAAGAACAGGCCCCACTCCCACCAATCTTCCTGCTCTCTTGTCTCCTTTCTCAATCTTATTACCCCACAAAACGAGTATTATAAGCTTCGATTAAATTTAAACCAAATTTAAAAATCAGCGGCGCATTAATGATTTGTTTCCCCTAAACACTATAATTATTGGTTAAATGATGTTTTTATTTTCCATTTTTGTTCGTAATAATCATTAATCTCCCAAACCAAACACTTTTTGGCGCGAAAACATAACTTCGGCTGAAGAGGGTCCCATATTGCATAAAATCCGGGTGCTGTAATTACGTTGACTAAACACAAAAGTGACCTAATTCAAAATCTCTACTGGGCCATGCAAAGACCGAAAACAACAAACAAAGACATTAAAGAAGGCTGCAAAGTCCGACAAATAATGTAATAATAATCATGCTGAATTTTTAAATATTAGTTCTTGTTTTGTTTTTTCTTACTAAGAATTTAAATCAGGAAAGAAAATAAAATAAAAAGCGGTTAGGCCGGTGAAGGTTGATCGGCGGAGGAAGTAACTTCAGGACCAACACGACAACCTTCTAACATGAACACAATATCAGACATTGTTGGTCGGTCAAGAGGATCCGTGGCCGTACAAAGAAGTCCGACTTTGATACCTAACAAGAACTCTTCCCATTCAGATGACTCCGGGTCTAGCTCGAGCAGACCCGGTTCCAGCAGCTCTGTGACTTGGCCTCTCTGAAGCTGTTTCTTCACCCATTTCACTATATCCTCGTCTTGTGTGAACATAACCGGTCTCTTCCCGGTTAGGATTTCGAGTAGGACAATGCCGAAGCTGTAGATGTCTGACTCTCTCGTGATTTCTCCGGACAATGTAGCTTCTGGAGAAACGTATCCTAGTGTCCCGATGGTGGCTGATGAGACGGCTGTTCTTGACGGAGATCGTACCGTGAGACGGTCAAGCCCGAAGTCGGATAAATGAGCTTCAAAGTCAGCGTCGAAGAGTACATTCTGTGGCTTTATATCACCATGAACCTATTTGATGTAACATGACATTAGCCTATAACTTAAGCTATAGAGATAAAATGAAATACAATTCCATAAAACTACTCCAACTGAATTTAGTGCTCAAATATCAAAAATTTCTAAAATTAAAATACAATCCTAAAAAATCCTCATATTAGCTATAGATGTTGGGGTATTTTTATTAAAAAAGTTAACAAACGTTAGATATTGTTACCATGTTGGATTGATGGAGGAAACCGAGTCCACGAGCGATCCCAAGAGCAATGAGGTGACGCATTGGCCAGTTCAGGACATGACCATCTTGGTGAGAAGCTTCTTGAAGCAAAGTAGATAAGTTCCCATTAGGCATGTAGTCATACACCAAGAGCCTCAAATCTGGTGGACCAGCGTAGTAGCCTCTAAGGACAGTGATGTTCCTGTGCTTGACTTTACCAAGAACCTCAGCTTCTTTCTTGAACAAATTCTCGTTTAAAAGAGAACCATTAGGTAAGCGACGGACCGAAAGAACCATACCATCGTTGTAATTAGCTTTGAATAGCAAACCGTATTTGGTTCTGCTAAGAACGTTCTCTTCATCGAACTGTCTTGTTGCTTCTATTGTTTCCGCTAGAGTGATCTTGTTGTTGAACATCACTAGCTTCGGTTCTCCGTTCTCTGTGCTTGACCGGCTCGTGCTGCTACGTACTCTACTTCCCGCGCTTGTTCTCCCAGGACTGCGTTTCTTTTCTCCCGTTGCGGACTGTTGTTTCAGCTTCTTTCTCCATTTCAGGAGTGTGTAAATGTAGAAGCAGCAGAAGAGTGTTAAGAGGCAAGCACCTACTGAAGCCATAGCTATCATAATAATCATTTTCCTTCTCTTCTTCCTTGCCTCTGCAGTGTTGCTTTCGCATTTTCTTTTCAACGGCTTGCCGCATAGCTCTGCGTTGCCTGAGAAGTCTGATGGGTTGGTGAAAGAAGCTGGAATCTCTCCTTTGAGATTGTTACTTGAGACGTTGAAATACACCAAGTTAGTGGCAATAAGCGAGAGTGTAGATGGAATCTCTCCAGTTAAGTTGTTAACAGAGAGATCAAGCCTTGACAAGTTTGAAAGTCCAGAGAATGATTCAGGTATGACTCCTGAGAGATGATTGTGGTCAAGTGACAGTGTCTGAAGAGACGAGCTCTCAGAGATTCTTGATGGGATCTCACCTGACAAGTTGTTCCTACCCAAGTCCATCACTTTCAAACGAGAAAGTCTCGAGAGATCAGCTGGAACATGACCCATTAGCCGGTTTGATCTCAACTCAAGAACCTCAAGAGCAGAGCAGTTTCCAACTTCAGGTGGAATGGCCCCGGAGATGTGATTATCCGACAGCGACAGAGAAACCAACAACCGAAGAAACCCGAAAGTCTGCAGTATCTCACCAGAGAACGAGTTGGAACTCAAGTTCACATACCGTAAACTCACCAAGCTACTAAACCCTTCAGGCACAACACCAGAGAAGTTATTCTCCTGCAACGCAATCACTTGCAAATTCGGCAAACCGAAAACCTCAACCGGAATCTCACCAGACATATTCTGTTTGCTTAAATCAAGAGACGTTAGCTTAAACAGATTCCCCACAGTAACCGGTATCTCACCAGAGAATCCATTCCCACTCAAATTCAAAAAACTAAGGTTACTTAAGTTACTGATACTAACCGGAACCTCACCAGAAAACCGGTTTCCACTAAGATCCAGCTCAGATAAGTTAGTTAAAGCCATCAACTCCACCGGAAAACTCCCATTCAAGTTGTTTTCACCTAAGTTTAACCGATCAAGCTGCTGGAGATTCACCATAGAAGAAGGCACATAACCAGAGAAGCTGTTTCTGCCTAAAGACAAAACCTTTAAAGCCTTCATGTAGCCTAGAAACTCCGGAACTAAACCGGTTAACCGGTTCCCTTCCAAATCTAAAACCGCTAACAAGCTACATTGCTTAACCTCAACCGGAATCTCACCGGTAAGTGAGTTATTAGCCAACTTCAGCTCTTGCAACAACTTCAAGCCACCAATCTCCGCCGGAATCTCACCGGAAAAAACATTTCCAGAAACATCAAGACTCGTTAACGACACAACGTTCGTCAACCACTTCGGGAAAAGACCGGAGATTCGATTCTCCCGGAGATCCAAGACTTGTAAACCGGTACTCCGACAGTTAACCGTCTCCGGAGGCCGTACGACGTCGGAGAAGGAGTTGAATCCTAACTGAACGATCTTTAGCGAAGTGTTGCAGAAGAGAGAGAACGGGAGAGTACCGGAGAGATTGTTGTTGTTTAAAGTGATGACTTCGAGGTTAGGCAGAGCGCCAAACGCGGCGGGAATAACGCCGCGGATAGCGTTCTCCGAAACGCTCAAGTGAACGATGGAGGAGCAGTTTGATAACGCGGAAGGTAACGTCCCTTGCAAGAGGTTGAAGTCTAGCCAAAGATACTGTAAGCTCTGAAGCTTGCCGAGGCTTGCGGGAATCTCACCCTGTTGAAAAAAGTAAAAAGATCCCACATCGGATAAAAGAAAGAGAGTTAAGTAATATATAAGGAACTTGTTTTATTTCACTTACGGTTAATTGATTATACGAGAGGTTAAGATTCTGGAGCTGAGTCAAGTTAGCGAGTCCACTCGGTATTATACCAGAGAGGACGTTGGAGGAGAGGTCAAGGAACTTGAGACTCGACGGTAAAGAAGCCGAGATCTCACCGGAGAGACGGTTTCCGGCGACGTTGAAGACTTCCAACTCAGTGAGATTCTTCATCCCCGGGGGGAGTTTTCCGGTTAGCGAGTTGTACTGGAGGAAGACGGAGAGTAGGCGCGTGCAGTACGCGAGTGAGGGAGGGATGGTTCCGTTGAATGAGTTTGAGCGGAGGCTGAGCTTACGCAGCATGCGGAGGTTGGAGATACGGTCGGAGATTCTTCCGGAGAGCTGAAGACGGGGGAGACGGATCTCCGTGACGCGGTGGTTTGTGCAGAAGACGCCGCGCCAGTCGCAGGGAGCTGAGGGGGTTGTGGGGTCCCATGAGGTTAACGCACCGAGTGGGTCGTGGAGGTTGAGCTTGAAGGCAGTGAGCGCGTCGATCTCAGAGTGAGTATCATCGGCGCGTGAGAGTAAAGGCGCGTGGAAGATGAGGAGAAGGAAGAAGAAGGATCTCCTCATGGCTTAGAGATCCGTTACTGAAAAGACAATGAACAAAAACTAGGTTGAAGAAGGTGAGAGAAGAAGTGTCGCCATGAGTGTGGTTTCTCTCTTGGAGAGAGTAAAGTTGAAGTCTTTTAAAGAAGAGCAAGAATATATAAAATTTGTTTTTCTTTAAAATCATTTGAAATCTATTTGAAGTCCGCACTATAATCCATGCGTATAAAATAATGTTTTTTGTTACAGATTCCGGAAACATTTTTCTAATCATTATTGTCGTCCTTGCAAGCTAAATTAAATACAGAATAAATAAAAAAAATCATTATTTTGTTTTTATTTTTGTCCACTTGCTTTAAATTTTTCGGCGATTGAATTTTCACGGCGAGAAATGGCGACGGCGATAGGCTTTCTGATACTCTTGTCATACTTGAGCTTGTCTCATGGATTAGTACAACCTCGGAGGATATCTCATGGTTTGTCTGCAAGCGGCAAGTACTTGACGAGGGATGAGCTCTGGTTCAATCAAACCCTTGACCATTTCTCTCCTTATGTAATCAATCTAATCCGATTTCGTTTCAAAGAGGGAGACTTTTTAGATTGTGTGTTCTATAAATAGTTAGTTTTTTTTTTCATTACAGGACCATCGCAGATTCAGACAGCGATACTATGAATATCTGGACCATTTACGAGTTCCAGACGGACCTATCTTTCTGATGATATGTGGCGAGGGCCCTTGCAACGGAATCCCAAATGATTATATAAGTGTAAAGAGTTTATTTCAGTAAAGACTACTCCTTTGATTGGTTTAACATCGATAGTTTCTGAAATTTTGTAATGCCTTTCCTTATGAATAGGTGTTGGCAAAGAAGTTTGAAGCAGGTGTTGTTTCACTGGAGCATCGTTATTACGGAAAGAGCTCACCTTTTAACTCATTAGCCACTGAGAATCTCAAGTATCTTTCATCTAAACAAGCCCTTTCCGATTTAGCTGCTTTCCGTGGATATTACCAGGCAAGTCTTCTAGTTGTATTTGTGCTATAGAGGCTGTGTCTATTATTCGATGAGCACGAGTTTGAGAGTTTCAAGTGGATGCAGGAATCTTTGAATGTTAAATTGAATAGAAGTGGCAAAGTTGATAATCCTTGGTTCTTCTTCGGAGCGTCTTATTCTGGAGCTTTGAGTGCTTGGTTCCGGCTTAAGTTCCCTCATTTGACTTGTGGAAGCCTCGCTAGTTCTGCAGTTGTTCGTGCTGTCTACGAGTTCCCTGAATTTGATCAACAGGTAACAAAACCTTCGTTACAAGACATGTGTCTTGTACATATAGAGTTTAGTTGCTAATGGAATCAAGATTTTTTTGTGACTCATTGAGCAGATAGGTGAGTCAGCTGGACCGGAATGTAAAGCTGCACTACAGGAGACTAATAAACTCGTGGAACTAGCGCTTAAAGTCAATAACAAAGCTGTGAAAGTTCTCTTCAATGCCACCGAGGTCTAGCTTTTGTTCTTTCTCGCTTCTCTGTTTTGAATCCGAGAATTAAATTTTTCTCTCCAATCTGATTAAGTTTCTGAATATCTGCAGCTTGACGTTGATACTGATTTCTTATACTTCGTAGCAGATGCACAAGTTATGGCGGTAATGATATACATACATCTTCAAATGATTCTCATTTTTTCATCTCATTTTTTCTAGTTTTTAAATATTTATCTTCAAAATTTGGTAGTTCCAATACGGAAATCCAGATAAGCTATGTGTTCCACTCGTGGAAGCTAAGAAGAACGGTGGTGATTTAGTGGTAAATTCTTCTTTTCTATGATCAAAGGTACTCTATTAGCTAAGAATTTGTGTGTGCTGACACATTGTTTTCGATGTGTGAATCCAGGAAGCATATGCTAAATATGTTAGAGAGTTCTGCTTTGGAGTTTTTGGGTTAAGTGCTAAAACATATAGCAGGAAACATTTGCTAGACACAGCGATCACACCAGAGAGTTCAGATAGGCTGTGGTGGTTCCAAGTTTGTACTGAAGTGGCGTATTTCCAGGTGGCACCTGCAAACGATAGCATCCGATCTCATCAAGTCAATACAGAGTAGACTCAGTCACAACCTTATATGCACAACTCTTATGTAGCGTTTCTATTCATCATCCCGTTTATATTTCTTGGTTCATGTTCACAGGTATCACTTGAATCTATGCAAGACTCTGTTTGGGGAAGGTGTTTATCCTGAAGTAGATGCAACAAACCTGTACTATGGAGGTGATAGAATTGCTGGTACGTAACAGTGAGATGAATGTGCTTCTTGTTCTTTTGGACATTTCAAGAGCTTATCTGGGTCTTGTTCCTCTCAATTTTGCAGCAACTAAAATCGTCTTCACAAATGGGTCACAAGATCCATGGCGTCATGCATCCAAACAGACCTCATCTCCTGACTGTAAGCCTCCATTTACTTTGCTTAAGCTATGTCATAAAGTAGCATTACATATATTCTCATGAAAACATTTAACAAGTTAATGCTTGACGACACAGTGCCTTCTTACATCGTGACTTGTCACAACTGTGGCCATGGAAGTGATCTTCGAGGATGCCCTCAATCACCAATGATCATTGAAGGTATATATTAGCAGCCTCTCATTCATTTCAGATGCCTAAACTGTGATGACAAGTACTAATTACTAAAACAACTTTTGTCAATCTCATTTGCAGGTGATTCCAAGAATTGCAGTTCACCAGATGCTGTGAACAAAGTGAGGCAACACATAGTAGAACACATCGACTTGTGGCTCTCAGAATGCCGTGGAGTGCTTAGAAGTTCCATCTAGAGTCGGCACACCTCACACACAAAGCATAGTCTCACGTTTATGTTCAGCAAAGAGATGAATAAAACATCATATGAATGTTCCAAACTTGTATCTATGTACATTGACCTCCTATGTACGTTTCAAACTTTTATCTATGCAACCTCAGAGCTGTAATTAGACCAATCGAAGCTAGGATCAAGGTCTATAAAACTTTCAAGCTGTTTACTATCGTTGCGACTTGGTTATATAAATTATAATGTCTGACTAAACACCAATCCGTTGTAGTCTAGCTGGTCAGGATACTCGGCTCTCACCCGAGAGACCCGGGTTCGAGTCCCGGCAACGGAGTATTTTTTGAATCGTTGTTTGACTTTTTTGCGTGTGTTTTTAATTAAACGCCGTCGTTTGCACGATGAGTCAACAGAGTGAAGACAGATGTCTCTTCGCTATTTGACCGGGAAAGAAAAAGAAAAATCAAAACAAACGACTCATCAATAGTCACGGATTCATCTTTCCTCGGGTGATCTGACTTCCAACGATTTCTTCGTTTTACTGATCGGTGAAGAGAAGAACGTTCTCCTTTTTTCCCGCGCGATGGTAGAATCCACGTCGAATTTAACGCCGACGCAGAGATACGCAGCCGGCGCATTATTCGCAATCGCGCTAAACCAAGCGCAAATCAACCAAACTCAGCCGCTAGGGATCCCCGCGACGTTAAACGACGACGAAGAGTGTGATCGCTCGGAGGAGCGAAGAAGCAATTGCAGTAGCGGAGATTCTGTCTCCGATGACCCTACCCTCTGGGTTCACGAGACGTCAGGTCTTCTTCGTCCCGTTTTCAGGTAATCATCTCCCTATAATCCGATTTCCGTTATCGTCGATTCTCGAATTTTCGTTTCTGATAAAATTTGTTATAATCTACAGATGTCTTGATATTGATTCCTCAGCTTGGCTTGGTCTCGAGGAAACAGCTAATTCTTCTCCAGCTAAGCATCACATCGGTGCGGTATGGCTATTTAGTAGCAATTAGATCCGATAGCTTTTGTGTTAAGTGATGGTTTTATTAATTTCTATTTTTTGATTTTGTTGTGTGTTAGTATACAAGACTACTCTCAGAAGAAGCGAGTGAAGCTTCTGTGGAAATGGTGGAGCAAGAGATGGCTCTAGCTAAAGCTGCTGATGCTATGGTTCATAGCATTACGAGTTCTCTGTCTATTGACGCTAAGAAGGAGAAGCATCAGGAGTACGAAAACGAATGCCGTGAGAAGTATGCTGTTCCTGAGGTTAAATCGAAAGATGTGGATAAGGATAAGGTTAAGGAGGAGTCGGATGCTGCTGCTGAGAGAGGGAGTCTTGAAGCGGGTGTTGTTATTAGAGATGGAACCTCCAATCCTGCAGTTGTTGAGGATGATAAATCTGTTGATGAAGTGACGTTGCTTAGCCATCAGAGGAAGATTAATGTTCTTTATGAGCTTCTTTCTGCTTGTTTGTCGGATAAATATCAAGAGGTTAAGAAATGTACTCGGCGTAGGAAAGGATATGATGCTCGTCACCGCGTTGCTCTCCGTTTACTCGCCACCTGGTTTAACATTGAGTGGATTAAAGTGGTTCGTATAGTTACTTCTTCTGATACAAACTCATTGTGAAAGTTCTTGCTTTTACTTAGTGTTATCCTTGTTATGAGTTAGCTATCTTGCTCTGAGTTAGGATATGGATTATGGAATTGGCACTGCTGTCAATTCCTGTGCTTTTCCATTTGCTTCCATCTTCTTGCATTTTTTTTATTTTCTTTATGAGAAGTTTATATATTCTTTCATTGTTATAATATTTGAAGATCTTCAATTTCTAGGAAGCAATTGAGACAATGGTTGCATGCTCTGCCATGGCCATTCAAAAATCTGCTGAAATGAAGGATCAGGATGCTGCATCTTCTTCAAGTACATGGGCTAAGTGGAAGCGTGGAGGCATCATTGGTGCCGCTGCTTTAACAGGGGGCACTTTGATGGCCATCACTGGTGGTACGGCGAATTGTTAACCTTCTATCCAGATATGAGCGCATTTGAAATTGGTTACCTATTTTCATCTACATTGTTGTATTCAACAGGATTGGCTGCTCCAGCTATTGCTGCAGGGTTTGGTGCATTGGCACCAACACTGGGCACACTTGTGCCGGTGATTGGAGCTGGTGGGTTTGCTGCTGCGGCTAGTGCTGCCGGAACTGTTGCTGGCTCCGTTGCGGTTGCAGCATCGTTTGGAGGTGAATAAGCGTAGATGAGTTCTTTTTTGCCATATATGTGCGCTTACAATTAGCCACTAGGTGTTTTGGCTTCTCTTTCATCCACACGAGTGTATTAATTCTTTGTGAAGGAGCGTGTACAATGTCACTTATGCTTGGTTCGTAAAATTGTTTTCGTACCCAGCTGCTGGAGCTGGTCTCACAGGGACTAAGATGGCAAGGAGGATTGGGGACCTCGAGGAGTTTGAATTTAAAGCGATTGGCGAAAATCATAATCAAGGAGTGAGTGCCTATTTTCCCTTAGGTCGATATCTTTGTAGCATAGCTTTGCATTTTGAGAGTATCAAAATTGGCTGTGTCTCATCACCCTCCTTTCATTTAGAAATCTCATTGCTCTGAGATTTTCCATTTTGAACTGATGTAAAAACAGTGTTCAAAAAAAAAGAACTGATGTAAAAACGTGTGTGGAAATCAATGCAACAGCGGTTAGCAGTGGAAGTATTGGTTGCTGGTGTTGTTTTTGAAGAAGAAGATTTTGTGAAGCCATGGCAAGGGTTAACTAGTAGTTTGGAGAGGTATATCGCGTGCTCACACTTTTGTATCGTAAAAAGTAGTCAGGATTTAGCATCTAAAGCAACTCCTTGAATCAGCTGTTTGTGTCTGATTCTCAAGAATTGTGCTATATCTGCTTCTTGATGTATGATCTTTACTATGTCAGGTACACGCTGCAATGGGAGTCCAAGAATCTTATCTTAGTGAGCACTGCAATTCAGGATTGGCTTACTTCAAGTAATTGGTTTTCATCCTACTAAACAACCATGTAAATGTGACAATAGTGTCAATTTTCTAAGGAAAGATTGTGATATCAATATGATTTCCCGCAGGACTTGCCATGGAATTGATGAAACAAGGAGCAATGCACACTGTTCTGAGCTCTCTTTTATTGGCATTGGCATGGCCAGCGACAATCTTAGTAGCTGCAGATTTCATAGATAGCAAATGGAGTATTGCTATTGATAGGTAACACCCTTTTCCCTTGCAAACTAGGTAGTGCATTTATCCATCGCATCTCTAACTAAACAATAGATCTTTTAAGCTTTTCCATATACCACAAACTGTTATGTTACCCCCTTGTGTTGGCATTTGCATTCTAAGTAAATTTGTGACTATCATAATCTTAATTCTGTAGGTCGGATAAAGCGGGAAGACTTCTAGCTGAAATGCTACAAAAAGGCTTGCAAGGAAATAGGTATAGAATTCATGACTGCTACAAGATTTTAAAAGTTAAATATGTATAAGATCCATGCATTTTGTTACTTATATATCATATCCTAAAATTGTTGTAATTCAGACCCGTCACTCTCGTGGGATTCTCGCTTGGTGCGCGTGTCATCTTCAAATGCCTCCAGACTCTGGCCGAGACAGAACAAAACGGTACTTTCCCAAGTGTATTGTATTACTTGAGAAGATTGCATTTGAAGATCGAATCTTTTTGTTATTTTTTGGGGTTTAATCTGAGAAAAGAAGAAGGTGGAATCTTTCTTATGGAGGTTTCAACATGTCTGTCTTGGCAGCTGAACTAGTGGAAAGAGTTGTTATTCTTGGAGCACCCATTTCAATCAATAACGAAAACTGGCGAGACGTAAGGAAGGTAAAATAAAACTCTCACTTGAGCTCATTACTAGCATCTCTCAGATCCATAGAATCTAATCGAATCGAATCTTAAAGAAAGTTTTATATTTTAATATATATGTATATCCTGTCCTATATGGTAGATGGTAGCTGGAAGGTTCATCAATGTATATGCAACAAACGATTGGACCCTCGGTGTTGCATTTCGCGCAAGGTACATTCATTACATAAACAATTCCATTATTTCAATTTTTATAATTGCCTACCTACCTAACTTGTTACTCCTTATGCTTCCACAGTCTATTGTCCCAAGGATTAGCCGGAATCCAACCCATTTGCATCCCTGGAATTGAAAATGTAAGCCATCTCTTTCAATATTGTCCTTTTAATGAAACGGAGAATAATGATGTTATTACAGATGATAAAAAATAAAAAGATATGAGATCGTTTTCGATAAATTGTAAAAGTTTCAATCATAAACCTTATGATTTCACCTCTTGATTTCAACGTATTACAGGTGGATGTAACCGATATGGTGGAAGGTCACTCTTCATATCTATGGAAGACTCAGCAAATTCTAGAGAGACTCGAAATCGACACTTATTACCCCGTTTTTCGAGACACTCTCTAGATACGTTTCACATGTTCACCAAACTTTACATGTTTGCTTTGTAACAATCGTCGACAACTTCTGTTTTGTAATTATTTGTATGAAACGTTTTAAAACCACTGTCTTGCGTTGAACGTTCTTGTTTCCTTTTTATAGAAAAGGCAAACTGAAAATTTGATTCTCTGATGATTGTTTTGTAATTGTCTTTGATGAAACGTTTCGAATCCACTGTCTTACGTTGAATGTTCTTCTGAAAATTTGATTGTGATGAAAATAAAATGAAAACTTTCGAACCCTGTGCAGCGACAATGAAACGAACAGGGGTATTTTAAAAAAAAAATCGACGTGAAGTGTATTACAATTAATAGATAATAATGATTATTAACTAGGACAAATATAGAGATGGAGTAAATAAAATTTAAACCAATGTTCGTGTCATGTCCGGTTTCGTCACTAGTTGGTGGTCTATATGACTTACGAATATATAACATCGTGAATATAACGATAAACTAAAACAAAGGTTATTAATTTGTTTCTATCCTCACATTTCTAATAATAAATCCAGCCTTGACGACAACTCATTGACTTTGCTATAAATTTGTCGATATCTTTTACTTTTTTACATCTACGTAACATAAATATGTGGACTACTATTTACCTACCCGTATTTATTCTTTCAGCGTTTCAAAAAACTCATATGTATACATATATTTAATGAATTATAGACATAACATATATAAATATTATATTTTATATAAG